CCCTTCCCTTTTTTGTACCGAAATGAGTGCCATTTGTACATCAGACTAATAAGTCATAATCGTTTTAACGCTTGCCTGTATATCAATTTCCTTATTTTTATTCAAACTTTTTCGGGACTTTGGTGACTAAAGAGTAAAAACGACATGCGAACCCATTTCTGGATTTTTTTAAAGACGCCAGCTGGCGTATTCACATTTTTTTTTTTATTACTTTCACGATAAAATCGGCAATGCAGTGCCCTAAAATGAAATGCGGGTGGGCCTGAGAACCAAGTAATCAATTTATTTTGGCCTAATACATAATAAGACATTTATGCATGGACCTCGGACATCAATTTCTGTGCCGCGAACATCCACTGTTCATACAAAAGTAGGACACAAACTCGCACTATCGTGCATTCTCATATAAACATGCATATCCTTGAGGTTCACAAAATGTTTATTTTTTGTTGGTACATATGGATAATGGGCTGATGATCAGTTATAATAAAGTTAACATCAGTTTGCCCTTTCCAATTCCAATTGTTGATTACAAATTCCATTATGGATATAACTAGTTCACAATTGAAATCAAAGTTTTGATTTTATACAGTGGTGTTCATGTGTTCGTACAATTTTTGCTATATGATTGACAAACCTGAATAGAAGTTGCTTGAAATGCATTCAGCATAAAAGAACGAAGCCCAATGTATAGCCTACAAGTCTGTCAATTGATTTAACAGTAGTGTTCTGTCTTTTTTTGGTAATTCAGTCCTATAAAACTATAAACTGATCATGCAATTGATCATCAATCTGTTTACTTCTTCTAATTACAAACCAATTGTTGATTATCTTTTAAAACCCATTGCAATTAATATCTGTTAATTTACTTTTTTAAATCAATACAAATGGTAAAACTAAAAATACAACAGCCATAGCAACCAATGGTCTCACGAAGTTTCTTAGTTGATGGTCGACGTCAAAACAACAGCTGGTCGAGTGTTCACATGCTATAATGTTGACTTATATGTACCTTGACAAAATAGCACTGTCTAGTGGTGTTCCGATTAATCGACTAAGTCGAGCATCGGTCAGTTAAGCTAACAAACTGATCAATCGACTAAGTCGAGCATCGGTCAGTTAGGCTAACAAACTGATTAATCGACTAAGTAGAGCATCGGTCAGTTAGGCTAACAAACTGAGTAATCAACTAAGTCGAGCACCGGTCAGTTAGGCTAACAAACTGATTAATCGACTAAGTCGAGCATCGGTCAGTTACGCTAACAAACTGATTAATCGACTAAGTCGAGCATCAGTCAGTTAGGCTAACAAACTGATTAATCGACTAAGTTGAGCATCAGTCAGTTACGCTAACAAACTGATTAATCGACTAAGTCGAGCATCGGTCAGTTAGGCTAGCAAACTGATTAATCGACTAAGTAGAGCATCGGTCAGTTAGGCTAACAAACTGATTAATCGACTAAGTCGAGCATCAGTCAGTAAGGCTAACAAACTGATTAATCGACTAAGTAGAGCATCGGTCAGTTCGGCTAACAAACTGATTAATCGACTAAGTAGAGCAGCGGTCAGTAAGGCTAACAAACTGATTAATCAACTAAGTCGAGCATCGGTCAGTTAGGCTAGCAAACTGATTAATCGACTAAGTAGAGCATCGGTCAGTATGGCTAACAAACTGATTAATCAACTAAGTCGAGCATCGGTCAGTTAGGCTAGCAAACTGATTAATTGACTAAGTAGAGCATCGGTCAGTTAGGCTAACAAACTGATTAATTGACTAAGTCGAGCATCGGTCAGTTAGGCTAACAAACTGATGAATCGACTAAGTCGAGCATCAGTCAGTAAGGCTAACAAACTGATTAATCGACTAAGTAGAGCATCGGTAAGTTGAGCATCGGTCAGTTAGGCTAACAAACTGATTAATCGACCAAGTAGAGCATCGGTCAGTTGAGCATCGGTCAGTTAGGCTAACAAACTGATTAATCGAGTACAAAATCCATGACCGATTTTAGTCGGAATGCTACTTATATGTAGATATTATGGAGTTTTCAGAAAAGTAGACATTTTTCCCAGCTACTTTGTGATGGCATCCTCACTGCATGACTTACGTTTAGCTCATGGCTGCTAGTAAGCACTATATATTACAGATAGAGGTATTTCTTATAATTACATGGTATCACTTTTTTATTTGCCAAAGTGACTTGCAACAACAGCATGGAGGATTCCACTATGTATTTCTATAAAACGATTATTAATCGATCATCGGTTGGTTAATGGTAACCAATGATCGATCATAAAATTTCAACCGATTCCCAACACTACGACACAGGCAATATTAAATAAATGATATATGTTTGACGATAATGTAGTATAAATACCTGTATATGTTAAATTTACAGTTTTAATGCTGCTGTATAGGGGAGGGGTATCAACATCTTCATTCTGAGTTTCAGGATTTACCTTAACAAAAAATATTCTTAGAAATATTTGAATATTTACATATTCAACATGAAAAAAGTGTCTTTGAAAAGTCAAAAATAATATTGGTTTAACCCTTTCACCACTGTAGACCATAATGGACTCATCCATATCAATGCATGGTAGAGTCTACTAAAGTTACATAGGGGTGAAAGGGTTAACTTCCTTGCAGTTGAATAGCTGCTGCTCAACTTTACTAGACATACAAACAAGTATTTACTACATACAAACATGTATTTATACATAATCAGGCCATCTTAAAAAACAAGGTTGTTTGGATTTTCCTGACTTGCTCACTATAAGTGGCACCTTTAATTTTTTTGGAATTTGATCAATTGCATAAAGTTAAAAAATTTGTTATACCCGGTAAAAAAAAATTGTGTATGATCCAATGTGTGAAGAGAGCAAACAATTGTTTATTGAAGCAAAGGTAATAAAAATATTCACTCGTTCACCCCTGAAATTTCATAATAAACTAATCCAACCTTTGAATTGGAAGAGTTCAAATGAGTCTCCAGGCGTGAATGAGTTAACCCTTGAGTTGTCTAGTGTCAGAACTATTGTATGTGACTTAAAGCTTGTTATCATCGGTCCCAGATAAAAGGTTCAAGGTCAAATGTTAAGAGATAAAAAATTGTAGAAGTCGAGTCCTGTTGATATATGATTGCAATCACATGTCAAGAAGACCTGACGACTGTAATTTTTAATGTCTGGACGACTAGCAGTTATGTTCTGTCGCGGCGAGTATGATATATAGGGTATTACATGAGTTTTCATTTTATATGAGATGAAATGAGTCGAAGAATTTTTTAATTTAGCGAGCCTCTGGTGAGCTAAAATAAAAAAATTGTGACAAGTTTCATAAATTTCATATGAAATGAAAACGAGTGTATACGTAAGATCCTTTTTATCACATAATCAAGATTTGTGCCATTTATTCGTGTAAAACAACAATTTTCATGCAGCCTTGAAATGTAAAAAGCTGCCATTTTGACTCCATTGCATAAGTTTGTGACATCATGTACTTGTCCTAGCGTGACGTCAAAATTGAAGCAATTGAAACTTACAACCAATCACAGGGCTGATAGCTATATATGTCATACTACATGGGTTAATACAAAAAAAATATCACATGTGGTATATTCACTGGATAACACAGTACATTATGTGATAAATGTTATATCGGCAAAGTGTCATAAAGGTCCAGGTTTATTGCCGATAGTAAGATAAACAGAGTAAACATGTAAATAACCAGAATTAATAAATATTTTTTCAAAACAATTTCGTTTTAAATTTAAATTGATTAAACTAACTAATGTACTTAATAAGTACAATTATTGGTTAAGTGTACATCCTAATAACAGCCAAGGTCATTCAAGGGTGGAGCTGATGCAGGTATTAGAGTGCAACCGCACTGAAATAAAATGCCGAAGCTGGCACCCAGCTCGCGATCGGTATTAACTCATTCACCCCTACATATTTGAATTGGACTTGTCCAGTCTTTGATTTGGTTAGGTTCAAATGTGACTTTAGGGGTGAATAGGTTAATATTTCGCCTTGCTATGTAATACTGACAATGGGTAGACCAATCCATACTGTTACCATTTAAAGCTGAACATCAAGCAGAGTTTGATATAAAGTATGTATCAATTTAAAGTCATTAACCCCTGAAGACACATTTAAATTCTTCCAACTCAAACATTGGAATAGTTCATTATGATATTTCATGCCGCCACAAAGTAACGGAAGCGAGACCAAGGTGTTGCTTTTCTGACGATGGTGGCGTCAACATTAAGTTTTTGTGTTTAACATTAAAGTGTTAGTGCTAGACCAACCAAACTTGGACCATAGATGTATCTTAATTAGGTTGTACATCTCAACCCATACATGAAATGCTGGATGCAACCCACCTTTCATGGTCCATTGACTTAGTCAGCATCTCGATCAACATTAAGTTTTTGCGTTTGAGTTAGTTTCTCTGAAACTAGAAGTTATACACCAACCAAACTTCATATCATTTCAAATGTCGTCTACATTGAATTTATTTCACCGACATGTGCATTGGCAGTCAAAGCGGGGCACAGGCGACACATTTCAATCAGAATGGCTCGTTCATTTTTGAGAGTAGGTTAACGTTGGATCCCTATTAAAAATGTGCCTTATATGATTATTTCTGAAATAACCCTAATGAATGTTTTAGCAATGTTGTAATTGCATCAATACTCCTTGCATTAGGCGTTGGTGTTGACCGAGACAAACCAATGTCTTAACTAATTCACCCCTGAAATTAATTATTTCTTTACCTTTCAGCTGTCAAGTTTGGTCGGATGTCAAAGAAGCAGAGGGAGAAAGTAGAAGATGAGGCAAATTTTGTAAAACAGAATCGTATAAATGGATACGGTCCATCCTCCCCGACACCGCTTATACCCTCGCCAAACAACAACAATCAATTTACGGGGTACATATTTACCGCACTCAAGCTTTATAGTTATACCACTGGGCCTATTGTATTCATGAAACTGTTCTCATCCACGAACGAGCATGGGTTTTGTGCTCAAGCTTATTTTCTTGTTCTGGTTAGAGTTAGGTAAATTCATAATATAATGTTGTTTTTTTCAATGATTTCAAAATTATTTGAATAGAATCGTAGCCGAATACCGTTTTCAATGTATATATCTGACTTTTTGATCATTTTAACTTATTTAAGTGAGTTACGAAGAGCTGGTTTAAACACAGAATCCGTGCTTGAGCATTAGAACAGTTTCTACAACACACTGACACATGTTAATCCATAAGTCATGCTCAGAATGTACAGTCTACACTGACCTTCAATAATATGTTAAGAAAATGAGAGTTGTGTCTGCTGATCAGACAGACATATGAAACTGTTATTTATAACCTGACCAAAATAGGAAAACAATCCTTAACCCTTTATAACCTGACCAAAATAGAAAAACATTCCTTAACCATTTCACTGCTGTAGATCATAATGGACTCATCCAGATGAATGTATGGTAGAGTCTTCTCAACTTACCTAGGGGTGAAAGGGTTGAGTAACTCTGAACGGAATATGTTTTAATGCATTACTAAACATTGTGATTTCATAAGAATAACACTTTGTTTCCAGATACACAGATCCAAATTTTATGTATACAAGTAACGGGTACACATATGCTCTCCCATCACCAACGGAAACACCACACCCAGAGACCCCAGTGACCTCCGACCCACCATCATACACTGTAGCGACCACATCTCCAACGACAACGCAAACTGCGCCCCATCCGGTGACTCTAATCAGGGCTATTGATCTCATGGATTCTGGTGAGTTGATACTGGAGATTGGGATGTTCTTTGGGTAATATTTATTTTAACACTATGAATGAAGCGGTGGGATTTCTGACCATTGGCTAAAGAAGTGATGTTCTCGTACACTTGGTAGGTAAATTCCTATATTTGCTAGGGGACTGATAAACCTGTTTGTATCTACCTAGAGAAAGGCAGTTTATCCACACTGGAATGCTTAAATCGTCGCCATTGTATCTGTGTCTACTGTCTGGAATTGTGACCGAAATTAATAAGATGGGAATAAAATAACCATCCCCTACGTTGAGGATGTAACAGGTATCTCCAACCCTTGGGGTGATTGTTTTTGGTTGTCTAACCCTCGGGAGAGCCTCAGGTTAGACAACCACAAACATCACCCCAGATCTGGTAGGAGACTTCTCAGTCACACCCTTAAGGTAGGGGTTAGGGCCTCAGGTTAGACAACCACAAACATCACCCCAGCTCTGGTAGGAGACTTCTCAGTCACACCCTTAAGGTAGGGGTTAGGGCCTCAGGTTAGACAACAAAACCATCACCCCAGCTCGGGTAGGAGATTTCTCAGTCACACCCTTAAGGTAGGGGTTAGGGCCTCAGGTTAGACAACAAAACCATCACCCCAGCTCGGGTAGGAGATTTCTCAGTCACACCCTTAAGGTAGGGGTTAGGGCCTCAGGTTAGACAACAAAACCATCACCCCAGCTCGGGTAGGAGATTTCTCAGTCACACCCTTAAGGTAGGGGTTAGGGCCTCAGGTTAGACAACAAAACCATCACCCCAGCTCGGGTAGGAGATTTCTCAGTCACACCCTTAAGGTAGGGGTTAGGGCCTCAGGTTAGACAACAAAACCATCACCCCAGCTCGGGTAGGAGATTTCTCAGTCACACCCTTAAGGTAGGGGTTAGGGCCTCAGGTTAGACAACAAAACCATCACCCCAGCTCGGGTAGGAGATTTCTCAGTCACACCCTTAAGGTAGGGGTTAGGGCCTCAGGTTAGACAACAAAACCATCACCCCAGCTCGGGTAGGAGATTTCTCAGTCACACCCTTAAGGTAGGGGTTAGAGTCTCAGGTTAGACAAACAAAACCATCACCCCAGCTCGGGTAGGAGATTTCTCAGTCACACCCTTAAGGTAGGGGTTAGAGTCTCAGGTTAGACAAACAAAAACATCACCCCAGCTCGGGTAGGAGATTTCTCAGTCACACCCTTAAGGTAGGGGTTAGAGTCTCAGGTTAGACAAACAAAAACATCACCCCAGCTCGGGTAGGAGATTTCTCAGTCACACCCTTAAGGTAGGGGTTAGAGTCTCAGGTTAGACAACAAAAACATCACCCCAGCTCGGGTAGGAGATTTCTCAGTCACACCCTTAAGGTAGGGGTTAGAGTCTCAGGTTAGACAACAAAAACATCACCCCAGCTCGGGTAGGAGATTTCTCAGTCACACCCTTAAGGTAGGGGTTAGAGTCTCAGGTTAGACAACAAAACCAACACCCCAGCTCGGGTAGGAGATTTCTCAGTCACACCCTTAAGGTAGGGGAAGATTCTATTAGTCCATCGGTTTCAACATTGAAACATATTTCTACGGTAGAAAAGTGTGGGAGAAAAATTATCAGTCGCTCTCTATGAATGATGCAGACAATGAAATCTCTACCGCTGTGGAATACGATTTCTGAAGGCTTGTACAAGGCAAAGCTTCATGGTAACTTCTAAAAACTCATCCTGGGGTTGAGATTCTGGGTGTTGTAAAATGTTCAGAGTGGGGGTTATTTGTTACCGGTGTTTGAGTGTAAAATTTTCTATCTATTCACTAAACTATCATACTAACTGGCCATGATATGTATGTATTTGCTGTTGTTGTTTTCTGATAATCAGGTTGATCAGTTAGCCGGTTTCTCATTCTAGAGATTTCTAGAGACCTATTGCTACCCGTTTTCGTCCGTCGTCGTCCGTCGTCCGTTTAACATTTTACATTTCAAACTTAAAGTCAAGTTCTGCTGGGCCGATTGAACTGAAAGTTGGTAGGAATGATCGCCTCATGGTCCTGACAAAGTGTTGTTATTTTTCGGGTCAATCAGAAATACAATTTGGCTGCCATGGCCGCTATTTTGCTACTAAGTTCTAATAGGCCGATCTCACTTAAAATTGGTCTAGGAATGATCAGCTCATGGTCCTGACAAAGTTAAGTTAACATTATACTATTTTTTACTCAAATTGGTACATATTTCAACAACAAAAATAAATACTATAGACTCAGGTGACCGTTAAGGCCCATGGGCCTCTTGTTCAAGTAACTATTTACTGAAATTAGAGCAGTTTGACAACCCTAACACGGTATACTGGGAAGTTTGTCTCCCCTTGTCAAATTTTCGTCCTTTAATGGTAAAATAAATGTTAGCCCAATATTAAATTTGGTCTTCACATTTAACTCATTCACCCCTGAAATTTCATAATAAACTATTCCAACCTTTGAATTGGAAGAGTTCAAATGTGTCTTCAGGGGTGAATGAGTTAATTACTGTGTATATCATGTTCAGGGTTCTCCCCAGGCCATTTAGCTGATACGGCTCCGTATCAGCTTCGTTTTGAAATCCTCCCTGCCGTATCAGCTTAATTGCCCCGTATCACCTTAAACTGTGAACCGTATCACCTTGTTATTTGTACTGAAGGTGGTCTTTTTACAAAAGAAATTGACACTGATTAAATCACACGGCTGACCCAAGTCCAGCAATGACCCCACTGGTCAGTTGCACCATAGGCGTATTGCCACAGGGGGCCTGTAATTAGTGGGGAGGGGGACCGGACGACAAGCCCACAGGTGTCCGGCAATAAGCGTGCTCACTGGAGCCTAAAGCAATTACCACCGGATCCTTTTAGCATGGTCAATAGGTGATTAATTGAGGTACCTACTGTTCGATTAACAAAACAAACACTTATTACATCTTTTATAAATTAATTTACTCACATATCATTGCATTTGACAACGCTGAAATAGCGTGTGTATTCAGTAAGTGATGGTCGCCATCTTGGATTGTGTAAAGTACAAACCGGAAAGGGGAATGAAAATCCGGATTTGTCGTTATGAAGAAGAGCTCAAATAAAAATGCTGTTTTAATCTTTGATCACATTTACTGACAGCAGTATTTAATACAGTTTTTGAGGAAATAAAAACATGTAAGTGTTTCCCCCTATAGCACAAACAGCTATTAATTATTTTTAATGGGGATTAAGTTAGGGATACAAATGTAAAGATAAGAGACAAATGACACAAATGTCATATCTATTATTCAACGTACAAAACTTTTTTTAGAATATTTAAAACAATAATATTGCTGAAAATTCAGACAGAAGAAACACTTATTTATTTCCTTGGTTTTAATGTTCACCAAAAGAAGTTTGGTAATTAAAAGTAACTTTTTAAACATAATATTAACCCCCCCCCCCCTTTTAGGTTTGATAAGGTATTATATTAGCGTGTCCGTCTTGAATGTTCGTTGCAAATGAAACATATCAGCTTTAAAAAATTCTGGGGAGAACCCTGATGTTGTTTACAAATGTTTGCTGCAATGAATGGTAAATTCACCCCAATATCGAAAGGTGAAAAAGGTGACCTTAACTCGTTGTTCTGTGATTTCAGTTACATTATTTAAACTGTTACTTGAGGAACAGTGACCTTAACTCATTGTTCTGTGATTTCAGTTACATTATTTAAACTGTTACCTGAGGAACAGTGACCTTAACTCGTTGTCCTGTGATTTCAGTTACATTTGGTAAAGCCATTATAGATGCACATGTACGGACATGCTTGTATAGTAAAGAACAGATTGATCTGGTGAAATCCAACCTCCCCACACTGGAACTACTAGAGGCCTTTAAGATTATGGTAAGTTTTGTTTTGAACAGAATACAATACATCTCCAGCACACACACAGGCATTCACACATAGGGAGATACTAGCCAGGTGGTATAGGATTAGTAGTTAGCGCCTGATAAGGCAGCTCCTGCAATTCCTCAAAATTGTATTGATTAATGTATATGCTAATTGTATTAATTGTATATCTATGTACTGTAAAGCGTTTTAGAGTGGCTTATGTTTGCTAGATAGGGCGCTATATCAAATGTTGTATATTTATATTTAAGGGATTACTATAGGGGCATTAAATAATATGGTAAGTTATAGGGGAAATACTAGGGGGCCTTCAAAAACACTGTTTAAAAGGAAGTTGAGGGGCCTTTAAGAATATGGTAACATAGGAAATAGAAGAGGCATTAGATTATATTGTATGTTTTAATTTTAAGGAAATACAAAAAGGTCTTTATTAAAATTTTAAGTTTTAAAGGCTATGAAAATTTTAAGTTTTAAAGGATATACAAGAGGTCTTTAATAATATGGTTATAGGAAATACAAAAAGCCTTGAACAATATGATAACATGAAGTATATATGCTACTAAGAATATGGTATGTTTTAGAGAAAATACAAGAGGCCTTTTAAGAATATGGTAAGATAGGAAGTACTAAAGGCCTTTAGACTTTGCTAATTATATAAGTGATATATTCTTAAATCAGATGACAAGGAACTAAGATGAAATACATTATAACCATTCGTTGTATTTGTAGACACATAAACAGTTGTGGGCGGAGGTGGCTGAGAAAATCACGATAGCTGTCCAACAAATAATTGAGTTTGCCAAGATGGTGCCCGGGTTTATGGACCTCTCCCAGGACGATCAGATCATGTTATTAAAAGCAGGTAAAACAAGTGAATTTCATCACTGTCAACTGGCTTGTGATGGTGACAATGTAGACAGAACTTGATGCTCTAGTATGTATATCTGATAAATACAACTTAATGTCATAAATACCTGCCAATATCGACAGTCTACAACATGGTCAGTAATGGATTTCTACCAATTCTTAATTGTATGACTTGGTATTGTAGTTGATGTATGCACTGAATTATAACCCTGTGATCTTGAATGTAAACAACCACTACAGGTGTTTGTAAAACACTGGACAGAGCCGGCTATAACGCGGTACTTAGCAGGCTATACTGCCAGACTTAGCAGGCTATACCGCGGGACTTAGCAGGCTATATACCGCCAGACTTAGCAGGATATACTGCCGGACTTAGCAGGCTATACTGCCAGACTTAGCAGGCTATATAACGCGGGACTTAGCAGGCTATACATAACGTGGGACTTAGCAGGCTATACATAACGTGGGACTTAGCAGGCTATACCGCCGGACTTAGCAGGCTATACATAACGTGGGACTTAGCAGGCTATAACGCGGGACTTAGCAGGCTATACATAACGTGGGACTTAGCAGGCTATACATAACGTGGGACTTAGCAGGCTATACATAACGTTGGACTTAGCAGGCTATAACGTGGGACTTAGCAGGCTATACCGCCAGATATAGCAGGCTATAACGCGGGACTTAGCTGGCTATATATAACGTGGGACTTAGCAGGCTATATATAACGCGGGACTTAGCAGGCTATACCGCGGGACTTAGCAGGCTATACCACTGGACTTAGCAGGCTATACCGCCAGATATAGCAGGCTATACCGCCAGACTTATCAGGCTATATATAACGCGGGACTTAGCAGGCTATCCCGCGGGACTTAGCAGGCTATACATAACGTGGGACTTAGCAGGCTATATATAACGCGCGACTTAGCAGGCTATACCGCGGGACTTAGCAGGCTATACCGCCAGATATAGCAGGCTATACCGCCAGACTTAGCAGGCTATATATAACGCGGGACTTAGCAGGCTATACTGCCGGACTTCCTAGTCCTATTAGAACAGTTCTTGTTCGGTTTCTGTGTACACCAACATTGTGAGCATGGACACCATGGAGCGTGCTATAGTCTTGTTTTCTGTTCAGAATCTTGTAGGGACCTTTGCTTTGGGTAGGAGTTTATAAGTCCAAACAATTAGCTTTCTGTTTACTGTGGAACCATGTTTTGTTAAAAGTCTGCCATGTGCTTAATTAAATTGTTTTAGCCTAGACACAATGGTCTCTGTAGCCTAGACACACTGGGCTCTGTAGCCTAGACACACTGGGCTCTGTAGCCTGGACACAATGGTCTCTGTAGCCTAGACACAATGGTCTCTGTATTCCATGGAAAACTGTCTTGTTCTTTTGTTTACCATGTTCTTGAGTGATAATTGCCATGTTTTGCGCTTTCAGGGAGTTTTGAGCTGGCATTAATACGATGTTGCAGAGTGTTTGACGTCGCCAGGAATAGTGTTATATTTGGAAACACTCTCTTACCACTAGAGGCCTTTGATGGTTTTAGTAAGTTATTCACCACTGTAGACCATAATGGACTCATCCAGATCAATGCATGGTAGAGTCTACTAAAGTTACATAGGGGTGAAAGGGTTCGTAAATTAATGTTATACTACCAGTACTGATGTACCTATCGGCTTGACAACGAGGTTAACCCAGTAGTCTAAGACCAGGAAAATATTAGCTAAAAACCGCTTATCAGATTGACAAGTCAAAATGTCATATTACTTCTCACGTTGAATAGTACTGGGATCAGGAAACTTGCACATGGACCAGTTAAATTTGAAATTATGGAAACTACAGTACCAGCCTGAGTGACGAGTGGTTTGTAAGATTACTAACCTGGTACAGTTTACAGTAACTTTAACTCATTCACCCCTGAAATTTCATAATGAACTATTCCAACCTTTGAATTAGAAGAGTTCAAAAGTGTCTTCAGGGGAATTTAATGAGTTAAACATATTATTTTAGAGGAAATCCTATTTCAGTGATATTTGCTCAAACTCAAATATGCTAAATTATGTGATTCACATAAAATGAGTGTTCCCTGTTTGTTATTGAAAATGGTTTATTAATTCATTCACACCTGAAATTTCATAATGAACTTTTCCAACCTTTGAATTTGAAGAGTTCAAATGTGTCTGTCTTCAGGGGTGAGTGGGTTAAGATTAGTGATGGACAATCCATTTAAAATCAGAATTCATAATTGGTTTGTAATCAGAATTAGTAAACTGATTGACCATTGATTGCGTATGCACTGTATGTTTATAATTTTATAGCACTTAATACCCAAAGAGTGAGAGAACACTATAACATCAATAGACAGAGTTGTAAACTTCTGATATGTACAGTTTCATTCTTTTATGACTGAATTTCAAGCAACTTTGCTGCAGTTTTGTCAATCATAGTAAAAATCATAAAAACAAAAGACTTTCAATACACACTTTACATTGTATACATTTGACACTTAGTTACTACTTAGTTAGAATTCAATCACGAACCCATTTATCAAATACTTTGTAATCAATTATGGGAATCGGAATGGGCAAACCGATCAATTTTCGATTATAATCGATTATCAGTCCATCACTAATTAAGATGCATGTTAGTTAAAAAATTGTCGTTGATGTGTGGTTATACCGGTGTTAATATAAGTATGTTTACAGTAATGTATGTTTACAGTATGTTTACAGTATGCTTACAGTAATGTATGTTTTCAGTATTTTTACAGTATGTTTACAGTCTGTTTACAGTAATGTATGTTCACAGTATGTTTACAGTATGTTTACAGTAATGTATGTTTACAGTAATATCTGATGTGGATAATTTTAAAGAGATAACCATTAAACACTTTAAATAGAAGGGCTAAAAATGTACGGTCTTACATATAGATAAATAGATTACCATATAGCAGAGCCTGTTGTTAAGTGATACTAATTTGGATGAACAGCACACTGATATTTTGTATTTTTGGATGAACAGCACACTGATATTTTGTATTTTTGGATGAACAGCACACTGATATTTTGTATTTTTGGATGAACAGCACACTGATATTTTGTATTTTTGGATGAACAGCACACTGATATTTTGTATTTTTCTGATTTCCAGATGAGGAGGAAACCCATTTAAGAGACAATATATTTGAGTTTGTGAGGTCGCTGATGACGTTAAATCTTACAGAGACAGAGTTAGCTCTGTTTAGTGCCGTCATGCTGATACGCCCAGGTAAGTTATCTGTTAAGTGTCATCATGCTGATACGCCTCGTCATACTGATACGTCCAGGTAAGTTATCTGTTTAGTGTCGTCATGCTGATATGTCCAGGTAAGTTATCTGTTTAGTGTCGTCATGCTGATACGCCCAGGTAAGTTATCTGTGTTTAGTGTCGTCATGCTGATACGCCCAGGTAAGTTATCGGTGTTTAGTGTAGTCATGCTGATACGCCCAGGTAAGTTATCTGTGTTTAGTGTCGTCATGCTGATACGCCCAGGTAAGTTATCGGTGTTTAGTACCGCCATGCTGATACGCTGATAGTGCCATATTTAGCACTGTTGAGATTAATTACCTGGGTATAATGTGTACATTCGGAATTCCATCCCGTCTTTACCAAATTTCCAGATGGACACAATCTGTTGCTGCTGATTGGGCCAGACAGATAGGGTTGCAACTATTGTTCTGTTGGTACAATATTGTTCATACTGGTGGTAACTGGTACTTTGGGAATAGCCTACATGGTAAATAATCAAGATTCCATAATCCAAGATGGCCGTCATGTCTTCTGATTGGCCTGGCCTAGACCCTGCGGGCTGTAATTTATGTTCTGCTGGTAGTTTGTCCATACTTGGTGATTGATAGCACTTTTCAAATACATGCTTGTGTGTAAAGATTGCTGTGACTTCTTGTTGATTAATTGATATATAAATACAGACAGACACACGAGTCATTGCTGTTGGTGTTCTAAGATAATGATATCTATGTATACATTAAATACTGTACTCGTTTTGGAGAATTTGACCTGGAAGCAAAAATGCTTCCGAATGTTTTGTCTTGAAAAATCTGTAGGAAGCATTTTATATTATAAAGATCCTCACTCCAGAATAACTTTTTTTTCAGATTGAATAATACCAACAAAATTACTTGACATTGAAATATTAATAAAAACAATATGTATATATATATCTATAATTATGTGTAAAACAAAATATCTAAAAAAAGAAAATTTAATTCAAAGGTTTGAAACAAATTATTCTAAAAATAAAACCTTTATAGTTCAGAGGTTGTAAACTTGTATCAATGTTTTTCAGATCGGCCAACTAAAGGTATAAGACTTGTATCAATGTTTTTCAGATCGGCCGGGACTTAAAGAATTACCTGACATTCAAAAACTTTATGAAAAGGCGCTGGCTGCGCTTAAGATGGAGATAGGGAAGAGCCATACCGAGGACGGAGAACTGCTGAACAAACTGATGATACACGCATTCTCACTTCAAAATCTAAGTGCCCAACATATTGTGCTATTGAATAAGTTCAAACAGTCTGCTCCGGAAGTGGAGTTTCCTGCCCTTCACAAGGAACTCTTCAGTGTTGAAGGGCTAGATAATTCCTGAATTGTGCTTGTACGCCACCATTTTGTTCTGTTTACATACTGCAGGGAGAATGTGAAAGATTTTTTTGGCATTGTTCGGAACTTACAGAAAGAGAGACAATGTTTAGCATTGCGGTTGAAGCTATTTTTTTCATTTGTTGTGAAAAAAAGATTTTGAAAAACAACACGGAGGATAATAGTTGTTTGCTGAAAGATTTTAATTGTATTTCAGCGGCCTGGTTCATTTCATGTACAATTTCATTGTGTTTATTTGTTTATGTACAGATTTATTTTAGATGAATTGTTTAGCCCTATCCATCCATACACCTTATCCCACACTTTGTTTTTAAGTATAAAGTTTTGATTTTATCATTTCAATCCTGCAATGAGAAAAAGTTTTGATGTACTGGATTCCAAAAATATCATTGTTTTATATCGTGTACGAATGCAAGACAGTGGTAAGCTCTATCAGTAGAGGATCTCAATTCATCTTTTTATTTCAGACATGTCTGCTGCCAGTCAGGGTCACCTTAGGTCACCTTAGGAAGGTTTTTAGCAACAAGACAATGTGTCAAGTTTCAGTGTACAAGTTTAAAAAAACCTGAAATTAGTGATATTTTCAAAATATTGATTTTATCAAAATGAATTTTAAAAATTACATTTGTGTACCAAAAGTGAAATTCACAATCATAATTAAAGGGAAAAAACGGGCAAAAGGGGCAAAAGTTGCAAGTTTGCTTGAATATAAATAACTTGAAAATTTAGTTCTCCGTTAATGATGCTGGCTACAACAGGGTTCAGTCTTAGGGTCTCTATGTAGTGCAGTAGGGTTGAGGTTTTAATACAAATCAGAATTTATTGAAAAGCTGTATGGATGGTTAAGTGGTGATGTAGGCAGATCTTTCAGGCCCATTTGTGCAGAGCTTTTGAGTTGTAAATATCAATAGCAGTCAATTGAAACTGAAAAACAGTAAAATTGATATGCTTATTGATAATTCAACAATCCAACTTCTGTTTTAAGCTTTGTTTTTGTAACAATGCAGATATACCTCTTCTAAAAGTATTCTATAGTTATAATGTATTCATAGTATGGCATCATGACAGTATGACGGTTTAGAATTACATTTGACGGGATAAATCTAGGTCAGTTTATAGTTGTTTGTAGGCCCTTTCCTGTTTGGGATATATCGCCCCTATTCCCTATTTTGTTCTTAGTCAGATTCAAAACAACCCATTCAGAATGTCTGATTTAACTCATGTCATGTCTTGAAACAAGTTATTCGAAGAAATCTGAAATTTCAATGGCAACATTTTTTGAAATTTGAATTTAAAAATAAATTATGAATGTTACACCATTTAGATACAAAAGATCATTTGGAAAAAAAGTTATTTTTTGAAGTATTGATCTCTACCTCTCCTGAAATAAAACAGTGTTTGAAACCATTCAAAAAAACTCTGCAAAAACAATTTTTAAAAGAGTCCATGGTTTTCAGTTTTGAAACTTGTCCGCTGTTTTACTGTTTATCGTTGGAAACTTTTAAACAATTTCTGAAAATGAAATCGTTTTTGATTCAAATGAATCAATTCCTCATGTGGATAGAACAGATATGGTTGGAAGCCTCAGTCAATTGGAGTGTTTTTATCACCTATCATTTGACATTGAGCCATGCTGTAGTGATGTGTTAATGTGTAATGTACAATATTAAAATTCTGGTGATGAATTTGATGTCTGCAGGGATTAATTAACTTGTTTAGTCACAATTTATTTCTCCGTTTTTAACCGAGTTGGAAGTCATGATTACTGGGAACGAGACAAACTCGCTAATGCTAGTAATGCATGTTATTAGGCTTCAGGGGCAAACCTTTTTCGTTGTTTTCTTTTAACAAAAAGTGATCTTGCAGTTTGAAAATGTTTCTATATGAGCATTTGTATACATTTGATTTCGATGTCCCTCTTTCAGAGCATTTAACACATTCACCCTTGAAGACACATTTGAACTCTTCCAATTTAAAGGTTTGAATAGTTCATTATGAAATTTCAGCAGTGAATGAGTTAAAATAAATAATCAAGGTATGTTGATAGCCTGTTTGATAACTAATGTAGCAAAAAGCATTTTCAGAAAATATTTAGTTTTAAAATATTTTTTTTGTCGCCCTTTGACATTTAACAAGAATTAGCAAGTTATTTCAACATCATTATTATTTTTCCGCAAATATATTTTTTACGACATACCCTTGATTACTTTCAAATCTTATTTACATATTGAAATCTGTTAGCCGTTTTACTGTTAAATTTGACATTATTTTAATACTAATATTTCATATTCTCAGTAATAATGATATTGACAGGAAAAGGAAGGTCCTCTTTCTCTGTGCAAAGTACAAAATATCTTAATTTTAATTTTCAGTTCTTAGGATTTTTTAACAGTGTTAATACTAACAGAAAGTAAAAATATCTTTAACCATTTCACCACTAGACTATAATGGACCTATCCAGATCAATGCATGGTAGAGTTTATCAAAGTTACATAGGGGTGAAAGGATTAAGATTATCATAAGACTTCATGCAGACAGGTTTTAGCATTTATATTTTACCTTTTACTCATTCACCCCTGAAATTTCATAATGAACTATTCCAAGCTTTGAATGGGAAGAGTTCAAATGTGTTTTCAGGGGTGAAGTATATAAGAATATAAAGATAATGTTGTAGCTACTTTTATAAACGTACCCCAATACTTACAGTATTGTTAAAAGAAAACAATGGAAGATGTTTTTCTGTAGCCTCGTGTTGCACTACTGTTATTGTTGTCCTTAGTTGTTACCTGTATTATACTTACTAGCATGTACTGTCCGGGACAGGCTCCTCCACCAATCAGCTTTTAACAGATTTTTTATTACATAATTAAACCTGTACTCACAGTTTAAGCCTCATTGTGTACAGCAACAGCTGAAGTTACCATTTTAAATTATGAATTTTAATAGAAAGTATATATTGACCACACAATTGAATTCGAAGAACTCTTCAGGTTCAAAGATTGGAATAGATCATTATGAAATTTCAGGGGTGAATGAATTATAAATCGAGGCGAATAAATGCCGCTGTAAACAACTCTGATGTTGATGTAGACATTTTACATAATTCTCATTATAAGAAATCAAAGGTAATTGATTGCATCAATAACGATATTTATCAAGAAATAATATTTTCATTGAGTTCTTTTTTACTTGTTCGACAGTAATCAGAATATGAAATGCAGTTGCCAAATAGATTTCTTTTAAGAATTAATTCTGTCCTTTCGTCTATGTTAGTTGGGGATTTATCTGATGGTATAGATTTGTTTATCAAAGAAAAATGTGTTTCCTATTGCCCATGTTAAGTATGAGAAGGGTGTTTTTTTGGGTTTTTTTTTTCCCAAATATTTCCTCTATTAATTAGCTGTACATGGTGAAGTTTAAGTGATGAAAACCAATTTGATTATTGTTTAGTACTTCAAAAAGCTGATTCATGGAAGATCCCGGACAGATGCCATTTTGCCTTTAGTGAAATGAACGGGCAGTCTTAATAATATAGTAATTTTGTAAATAGTGACCTAGTTATATATACTGTATGTATTTGTAGGCTAACACAGATTACATACGTCACACCTATATCTGTTGTGTATATACTATATATATATATATATATAAGTGAGGAAGTCGCACAAGATTTTAACTGTATACTGATATAAAGACTATAGTAGACGAAATCAATTCTTTGTTGATTCGTATATATAATCTATATATATTAATATTTTAATTGTTAACGAAATGTTCACATAATCTGAAACAGAAGTATTGTTGATGTATTGGAAAATACTTTTACCGACATTTTTTGAAATCAAGATAAATGAAAGTTTTGACATAATTACTGATATTTTGTGTTATTTTCTCCCCAAATCTTTTATTTGAGAAATATATTTGATGACTTTCCACTCTTTCCTGATAAACATTTTGTCGACTGTCAAATCATAATGTGTTTTTCTAATAATAAACAAGTCCGGTGAAATATTTGACCTATTAATGAAGGAGCGAGTTTTTAACATCAGCTTAACAGTTTTCAATTTTCAATAATTAATTTCTTGAACAGTACAATTGAAACATAAAACAATTTACAACACTACTTGAATTTTAAGGGTATTCTGTACAGCATGAATTTCATTTTAACAGAAGCTGAATTTAATGAAGTGCTTAATTTGAAAATTACTTGAAAATTTCAGAAAAGATACCTTTTCAAAATTGTCTTGCTGCATCTCCTGTGAAACTCCACTGTGCTACCTGTTGATGAGATGGTCGGGGGATTTTTTTTATAACATGGTAGGAAGCTGGCCTCACAAACATTTTTTGGTTACTTTTGAAGGTTTTAAGATCTGTTTTTAGTTTCATTTTTATGATAACTTGTCCATGCATGCCATTTTTGTTCCAACAATCAAATTTTCAATGTTGTGGAAGTTAGTTATTTGCGACCTGCATATAGATTTATAGTTTGAGTAGAAAGTTCATTCTGTCCTATATCAATGCTAGGCAGGGTTAGAAACCTCGGGAGACAAGGTCAGAGTTGCCTTAGTAATCCTGTCTAACTAACACAGGTACCTTTCTCACGATAACTTCACTACAACTACAAACTTTATATTGATGGACAGGAAGTGTAAACAGTTTTGAGATCACTTGGGTGGGTTTTCATCGTATTTGGAGAAAAATATTTGCGTTAATTCGACTTGACAATCAACTTCATTTGAACCGCAAATTCAGCACGGCGAAGGTATATGTTACAACATTATGATGTAACAGTACAAATGTGTGTGCGACACTGGATCTGATCATAACATTACAGAAATAGTTTAAAACAATCTTAGTGCTATTATACTGCTGTACAGATTTTTTCTTTTATTTGAACAATATATGTGAATAGTTTCAGTGAAAATAGTTTGTTTAAAGTCTTAAGTAGGGTATCAGACTGTTTTGAGAGAGAAAATGGTTTCCTAATTGTGTATATACAGACCATTGATTAGGGTGTAAGCTATTTTAACCTTTTCACCACTGTAGACCGTAATGGATTCATCCAGATCAATGCATTGTAGAGTCTACTAAAGTTGCATAGGGGTGAGAGGGTTAAATAGCTGGATGTGGTGAATATATTTACACGTGAACAGTAGTGACGGAATTTAGCAAAAATCAAATATTATCATGAAGAAAGAATTATTTCTTATCTATCTAGTCGTAGGTTATTAACCCTAACACCCCTATGTAACTTAAGTAGATTCTACCATGCGTTGATCTTGATGAGTCCATTATGGTCTACAGTGGTGAAAGGGTTAATATGTAAATCCAGAGAACAATTACAATTATAATGAGTAGAAATTGAAACACAATAAGATAAGACTTGACGAGCTGATCAGTGAGATTCTGTGGAAGGATATAAGGAACTGTAAACACCAGAAGGGAGACACATGACGAACCGACCAATCAGGGCTCTAGTAGAGGAACAGATATGGTTTAGGTCAAAGTTTACAGGGCTTCGTTGATGTCACTTGGTACTTGTTATCAACAGAGATTTTATAGACTGATTCATAAAGCAGAAGTGTTCAGCCTTCATTTTAATATGATTTTGTTATGTTTTCAGATTTATTGATATTGAAATAATTTGTTTCTAAGTGAAAGTAGAATGACTTGAACCAAAGTTTGGAATTATAAGGGTAATTTTTAATCAAAATTCTTTATTGGAAATTGATTAAACCATTAAATTCAGTTGAAAAGAAATACAACTTTATAGGAAATTAATACAGAATACTTATATAGCTGGCAATTAATTCATATGAAATGTTTTGATCCTAAACAATAACATAGTATGCTTGGTGTCATAAATTGGTTTTGTTCTGGAGTTATCTCCCTCTACCTGAATGGTATCGGAGCCCCATTCCAGTGAACGTTTTAAATTTGTAATCAAATGGACTAGTCTAAATTGATCATTCATTAAGAACATTTTTGTTGTGTGGAACTCTCCTAGAATGGAGATATTTTTCTTGGTAAGGTAGCTTACATCCTTAATAGGCTACTTGCTGTTAATAGACTTGTTTCACAATAAGGTAGCATATATCAAGAAGGAAAATAAGTAGGACTGACTGCACTGTACAACATAACCAGGATTATTTGTTTTTACAACAAATTTTATCTTGTAGTACTGCTTAAAGTTGTTCATCCTGTGTGTAAAAATGACAAATATCCAGTATCTCAATTGCCATATATTATATATATATACATAAAGATTGTTTTATATGAGTAGGCCTTGTTGTTAATAGCTTACCTACGTGATTTATGTTGCTTTGTACACATGTATATAGTTCATTGCTACAATGACATTAGATGTTACTACCACTAAGTCAGCTTGTCCTGTTATAGTTAAAATACCGCAGTCAGTTTTTAACGTCACACTAAAATATAGGGCAGTTTGATACTTTCAATTGTCATTGTTTTGTGATATAAAGGTACTTTGTATTCAAATTGTCTAGAATCTGATGGCAATTGTCCTAAATTTTAAGGCAGTTTTTTGTGACCTTGTAATATACAGGTTTAGTTTTAAGGCAGTATGTATGACCAAGTAATTAACGGGTTTTAAAGAATTCAACTCGGAAATCAGATGATTTTTTGGGTAATCATTTCAAAAGTATGTTTACAGTAAGTTACTGTTTCAACAGGTCCTATTCCTAATATGGACAATTGACATTTAAACAGGTCCTATTCCTAATATGGGCAATCAACTCTAGAGACTATGAGGGGAAGCTGACTGGTTGGCAGTTACTGTTATATGACAAACATGTACAGTACCATTTCGTACCAAAGATGATATATATATATATGTATATATAGATGATGTACAGAAATTTACTGATGTTAAAAAGGTGGAAGAAAGTTTTTTCTGATTTCCTTTTTTAGGGAAAAATAACTTTTATGTTGATTGTCAAATTATCATATTAGAAAAAAAAGTATTAATAATATTAAGTTTTCATATTGGGAGTTTTTGTAGGTGATAAAAAAACTCTGATAATAAAAGATTAAAGTCCTGTATAGTTCTGATTTACTCAACCTTTATTTTGATAGAGGTGGATTTTGTGTCATGGTCTAATTTAGTCCTTTACCCCTGAAGACACATTTGTACTCTTCCAATTCAAAGGTTGGAATAGCTCATGAAATTTCAGGGGTGAATGAGTTAAATGTAATCGCTTAAGTGATTACTGTTGTTACTAACTCTGTGTCTGGGCATTAGACTCTCTAATGGTGGAGTGTATAGTCTCTTTACATCAACATTTCTGGTAATGATAACTTTGTGGTCCTGTTGGAGCAAGGCCCTCGCTGGGCACTGAGGCCTGTGGTCATTTTGTGGTCCTGTTGAGGTGAGGCTATGGGTACTGAGGCCTGTGCTCATTTTGTGGTCCTGTTGAGGTGAGGATATGGGTACTGAGGCCTGTGCTCATTTTGTGGTCCTGTTGAGGTGAGGCTATGGGTACTGAGGCCTGTGCTCACTTTGTGGTCCTGTTGAGGTGAGGCTATGGGTACTGAGGCCTGTGCTCATTTTGTTGTCCAGTTGGGGCGAGTAGCTCTATGGGTACTGAGGCCTGTGGTCATTTTGTTGTCCAGCTGGGGTGAGTACCTCTATGGGTACTGAGGCCTGTGTTCATTTTGTTGTCCAGTTGGGGCGAGTAGCTCTATGGGTACTGAGGCCTGTGGTCATTTTGTTGTCCTGCTGGGGCGAGGCCCTCTATGGGTACTGAGGACTGTGGTCATTTTGTTGTCCAGTTGGGGTACTGGAGGTCTATGGTATACAGGACTTATATCTTACCAGCAATTAATTCAGTAATAATTTGTTAATGTGTTATTTTGTCATTTTGCATGAAGTACATTCTGTTGTTATCATTTAAAATGAATCATTTTTAATTTGTGTCACATGCTGTAGTTAATTATTCTCTTATATCTGTCGCATTTAATATCTCTTACTTTTCATGTTCGCTCATAAACTACTGTTAACCGGATATAAAAATATGTATATTCCATTGATATTTCCTTACCTTCCTAATACAGTTCAGAAGATGTTGAGAGCTGGTTGTCACTACCTTGTATAAGGGGAAGAACAGAGCAAATTGTTGCCTAGTTTAACTTGTCCTTTCACCATGGTTACAATTTACCTCCATATGGGGGTATAAGACCTCATAAAACAGCTTTTGACCCTAAAAATGTTAGAGAATTGTCATATAAAGGGGTCAGAATTTGTGATTTATGCCTGATTTTACCCCCAACTTTTATGTCTTGTAAAAACACTGTTCATCCTCTGTAAAGAGGAAAAATCATGAGAGTTTACTCCAGTACACAGCCTAAAATGCATGGTATTTCTAGTATGAAGGTGAAATTAAGACCGGGTGATTAACTCATTCACCCCTGAAGACACATTTGAAATCTTTTGAGTTCAATAGTTGGAATGGTTCATTATGAAATTCAGGGGTGAATGAATTGAGGATGAATATTTGAATTTGACATGATTGACGGCTAGTTATCTGCGTGGCATTATGATCAAGTCACCTGACCGGTCAGTCTGGTTAAACGCAGTGGTCACTTCCTCTGTTATCTCAAGTCTCACTAAACTTCAGACTCCATGTTCCTCAAAATAGTTTCACACAATGTCAGTAACAAACTGAAGTTTTTCATCTATCATATTAATAGTGTATCTTCACTTCTTATAGAAAACAACTATATTTGTATATTTTGATTTGGTCTCTTAAAATAGAGATTTAAATCTTCATTTCTAACAGAACAATTCCTTAAAATTTACTTTTAGCAACCACACAATTTAAAATGGGTTTTAAATTACGGAGATGCACAGTTCGTGTTCAACTATCGGTTCTTAATGCAGTACCCGCAACTAAAAATATTCTCAAAAAGCCTTCAATTTTAGTTATCTCGGTCTAAACTTCATGAGCATTGAACATTCATTTAGTTTTTTTCCTAACTAGAGTGCAGTATTAAGTTGAGGACAATAGCTTGTTTAGAGAGAGGAAAACTTAGTAGGAGTGTGTTTGAAAAAGAGGAGATCGCTTTCTTAACAAGATTAACCAATACTGATAAAATTTAAGTAATCATACTAATTCGGAAGCAGATGATAAAATGTTGAGATATACTTGTAGAAATGTGTCCTATATCCACATACTTTTTCACCACAGACAGATGTTTTTCTCATGGCTAGGAAAGTAATGGGTTGGAATGAAGCACAAACAATGTGATGTCTACCTCATGTTTCCCTGTACCTTTGTATACGGTTGAATAAGCAATACTATAGTACAGTATCACCACACTATTGATATGTCCAAAATTGCACTTTTGTGAATAAAAATAACGGTTGTCTGCCTTGGGTGAGAGAGTGGAGATGGTTATCTCCCTTTGGGAGAGTGCAGCATTATGATTACCATGGTAACCAGGATCTGGACCATCACATCTCTTGATTGTTTTGTCTCCTGTAACGTTGACATTTGTTTAATTAACAATGCATGTATGATTTGTAATGATTTGTTGAAAACTTAAGGGATAAAATGTTGTACGGTGAAAGATTTGAAATAATCAAACCTCTTGGCCACAAAGGCTTGTCGAAACAAGACCATTGGTCAGTCATTAATGACGGGGTAATAATGAAATGTTAACAAATTATTTTAAAAAAGAATTAACATAAAAAAATGATTTTTTTCCTATGGATATTTTATGTAATAGTCGTTTTCCTAATTTGACAATACTTGTAGGTCTTCGTTTTATCATTTTGATTTTAACAGTTAATTTTGTACATCATTGTTTCATTTGATCCTCTGACCCCTGTAAAGCGTAGTGTACCTGTCTAGTTCAGGGTATCAAGGACAGCTCATTATGTGATATTAGGGGGACTTATTTTACTATTTTTAAGCCGGTACTATATTTGGTAACTACCTTTGTACACAGAATATGTGTTGATACATTGTATATTATTGTAATGATCTGTAAGGAATTATGTCAATCAGTACCTGATAAAGAGGGATTCATGTTTAATGTAAGGGGAATAACTCTTCATATTAAATACATTGACTCTTGTTACTAATACGGAATACATGGGGGGAAATATCCATCAAAAACTTAATTGAGCGTAAGAGGCAATCCTATTGAGAGAAAAAAATCTGAGTAGTTACTTGATGTTTAAGTAACAGTTAAAAAAAAAGTCAGTAATCGCCTTTCCCAAGGGAGGTAATTCTTGTACGACCCATGGAGTCCCTTGTACAGTTTGTCATTAGTTAACTTGCCCCGGTTCGATGGAGCTGTTGGGCGAATGAAGGTTGTTATGGTGATTTGAGACGGAACTGTAAAGTGATTTTTGTCAGTGCAGTGTTACACCTGGTCAACACTTTGTAAAGGTGTACAAGGCACACATTATCAAATACACTATTTTTATATACACAATTCTTGTGTTTTCTTTTATGTTTTTCTGCATGTGGCTTACTTATAGCCAGAGATATTTGTTAACATCCACGGAACTTGTTGCATTAAGGATATTTGTTGCGGTTTATGTCAACAAGATTCCAATGTTGGTGGCGTCCTTACCAAACCGATTATGTGCGCTGCCCAAGTTACTGTTGGATGGATCTGTAATCTTCTATGTTTCCCGTTTGAGTAGCCTAGTGTAAGATTGACCGCCATCTGGAATACGAGGAATTTATATTATCAATGTAGCAGAACTGGACTGGGTCGATTGCCGGCAACCAGGTTGCTCAATTGGTTAGAGCGTCGGTCTAGAATTCTGTGTTCCGCCGGGTTCGAATCCCGGTCTTGCCTTGCAGCTTTCCACGCCTGTTACATCATAGCATTAGAGAATATGTTTTAGCACTGCGCAAGGAGAGTCGAGTAATTGAAATTAAAAGATATACCAAGGTGTCTACACTCAAAGTTAAAGCGTAAAGCGTCAACTATAAGTACATAATATATCGCGGTATTGGCTTATAAGTGCAATTTATATAACAGCGTCAACACACAAGGACATGATATATTTCAACTTCAACACAAGTACAAAATATAACAGCGTCAGTGACAAACACAAGGACAAAATATAACAGCGTCAACACACAAGGACATAATAGATTTCAACTTCAACGCACGTACAAAATATAACAGAGTCAGTGACTAACACAAGAACAAAATATAACGGCGTCAACACACAAGGACATAATATATTTCAACTTTAACACAAGTACAAAATATAACAGCGTCAACACACAAGGACAAAATATAACGGCGTCAACACACTAGGACATAATATATTTCAACTTCAACACAGGGACAAAATATAACAGCGTCAGTGACAAACACAAGGACAAAATATAACAGCGTCAACACACCAGGACAATATATATTTCAACTTACACACAAGGACAAAATATAACAGCGTCAGTGACAAACACAAGGACAAAATATAACAGCGTCAACACACAAGGACATAATATATTTAACTTCAACACAAGTACAAAATATAACAGCGTCAGTGACAAACACAAGGACAAAATACAACAGCGTCAACACACAAGGACATAATATATTTCAACTTCAACACAAGGACAAAATATAACAGCGTCAGTGACAAACACAAGGACAAAATATAACAGCGTCAACACACAAGGACATAATATTTTACAACTTCAACACAAGTACAAAATATAACAGCGTCAGTGACAAACACAAGGACAATATATATATAACAGCGTCAACACACATGGACAAAATATATTTCAACTTCAACACACAAAGGCAAAACATAACACAGCGTCGTCATATACCACAGAGTCAACACACGAGAACATAACATAGCACAGCGTCAACACACCGGGACAAAATATACCACAGCGTCAACACAAAAGGACACAATATACCACAAGGACAAAATATACCACAGCGTCAACACAAAAGGACACAATATACCACATCGTCAACACAAAAGGACACAATATACCACAGCGTCAACACACCGGGACAAAATATACCACAGCGTCAACACACATGGACAAAATATACTACAGTGTCAACACACATGGACTAAATATACTACAGCGTCAACACACAGGAACAAAATATACTACAGCGTCAACGCACATGGACTAAATATACCACAGCGTCAAAACACATGGACTAAATATACCGCAGCGTCAACACACATGGACTAAATATACCCCAACGTCACACACATGGACTAAATATACCACAGCGTCAAAACACATGGACTAAATATACCGCAGCGTCAACACACATGGACTAAATATACGGACAAAATATAACAGCGTCAACACACAAGGAAATAATATATTTAACTTCAACACAAGTACAAAATATAACAGCGTCAGTGACAAACACAAGGACAAAATATAACAGCGTCAACACACCAGGACAATATATATTTCAACTTACACACAAGGACAAAATATAACAGCGTCAGTGACAAACACAAGGACAAAATATAACAGCGTCAACACACCGGGACAAAATATACCACAGCGTCAACACAATGGACTAAATATACCACAACGTCAACACACATGGACGAAATATACTACAGCGTCAACACACATGGACAATATATACTACAGCGTCAACACACATGGACTAAATATGCCACAGCGTCAACACACGTGGACAAAATATATTACAGCGTCAACACACATGGACAAAATATATTACAGCGTCAACACACATGGACAAAATATACTATACCACAGCGTCAACACAAAAGGACACAATATACCACAGCGTCAACTCACCGGGACAAAATATACCACAGCGTCAACACACATGGCCAAAATATACTACAGTGTCAACACACATGGACTAAATATACTACACAACACACATGGACTAAATATACCACAGCGTCAAAACACATGGACTAAATATACCGCAGCGTCAACACACATGGACTAAATATACTGCAGCGTCAACACACATAGACTAAATATACTACAGCGTCAACACACAGGAACAAAATATACTACAGCGTCAACGCACATGGACTAAATATACCACAGCGTCAAAACACATGGACTAAATATACCGCAGCGTCAACACACATGGACTAAATATACGGACAAAATATAACAGCGTCAACACACAAGGACATAATATATTTAACTTCAACACAAGTACAAAATATAACAGCGTCAGTGACAAACACAAGGACAAAATATAACAGCGTCAACACACAAGGAAATAATATATTTAACTTCAACACAAGTACAAAATATAACAGCGTCAGTGACAAACACAAGGACAAAATATAACAGCGTCAACACACCGGGACAAAATATACCACAGCGTCAACACACATGGACTAAATATACGGACAAAATATAACAGCGTCAACACACAAGGAAATAATATATTTAACTTCAACACAAGTACAAAATATAACAGCGTCAGTGACAAACACAAGGACAAAATATAACAGCGTCAACACACCAGGACAATATATATTTCAACTTACACACAAGGACAAAATATAACAGCGTCAGTGACAAACACAAGGACAAAATATAACAGCGTCAACACACCGGGACAAAATATACCACAGCGTCAACACACAAGGACACAATATACCACAAGGACAAAATATACCACAGCGCCAACACAAAAGGACACAATATACCACATCGTCAACACAAAAGGACACAATATACCACAGCGCCAACACACCGGGACAAAATATACCACAGCGTCAACACAATGGACTAAATATACCACAACGTCAACACACATGGAAGCGTCAACACACATGGACTAAATATACTGCAGCGTCAATTTCAACTTCAACACAAGTACAAAATATAACAGCGTCAGTGACAAACACAAGGACAAAATATAACAGCGTCAACACACAAGGACATAATATATTTAACTTCAACACAAGTACAAAATATAACAGCGTCAGTGACAAACACAAGGACAAAATATAACAGCGTCAACACACCGGGACAAAATATACCACAGCGTCAACACACATGGACTAAATATACCACAGCGTCAACACACGTGGACAAAATATACTACAGCGTCAACACACAATGGACAAAATATACCAAAACGTCAACACACATGGACTAAATATACCACAACGTCAACACACAAGGACTAAATATACTACAGCGTCAACACACAGGGACAATATAACACTTCGAAGTAGTAATAAAACAAAAGCAACAATCCACACAAAAATCTGCATAACACATGGACTAAATATACTGCAGCGTCAACACGCATGGATAAAATATACAACAACGTCAACACACATGGACAAAATATACTACCGCGTCAACACACATGGACTAAATATACCACAACGTTAACACACATGGACTAAATATACCACAGCGTCAACACACGTGGACAAAATATACTACAGCGTCAACACACAATCGACAAAATATACCAAAACGTCAACACACATGGACTAAATATACCACAGCGTCAACCCACATGGACAAAATATACTACAGCGTCAACACAATGGACTAAATATACCACAACGTCAACACACATGAACTAAATATACCACAGCGTCAACACACATGGACTATATATACCACAACGTCAACACACATGGACTAAATATAGCACAACGTCAACACACATGGACTAAATATACCAAAACGTCAACACACATGGACTAAATATACCACAGCTTCAACACACATGGACTAAATATACCACAACGTCAACTCACATGGACTAAATATACCACAGCGTCAACACACAGGGACAAAATATACTACAGCGTCAACACACATGGACTAAATATCCCACAACGTCAACACACATGGACTAAATATACTACAGCGTCAACCCACATGGACTAAATATACTACAGCGTCAACACACATGGACTAAATATACCAAAACGTCAACACACATGGACTAAATATACCACACCGTCAACACACATGGACTAAATATACCACAACGTCGACACACATGGACTAAATATACTACAGCGTCAACCCACATGGACTAAATATACTACAGCGTCAACACAAATGGACTAAATATACTACAGCGTCAACACACAGGGACAATATAAAACTTCAAAGTAGTAATAAAACAAAAGCAACAATCCACACAAAAATCTGCATAACACATGGACTAAATATACTGCAGCGTCAACACACATGGACTAAATATACTACCGCGTCAACACACATGGACTAAATATACCACAACGTTAACACACATGGACTAAATATACCACAGCGTCAACACACATGTACTAAATATACCACAACGTCAACACACATGGACGAAATATACTACAGCGTCAACACACATGGACTAAATATACAACAGCGTCAACACACATGGACTAAATATACCACACCGTCAACACACATGGACTAAATATACCACAACGTTAACACACATGGACTAAATAT